TGCGCGCGGCACCTCCCGTTGGTCCAGCTCAGACCTTCGGGCACAGCAGGACCTCCGTTCACGAGCACAGGCCTGGGAAAAGGCCTGGAACCGCACAACGGCCGCCTCCAACTGGAATCACCTTTGGCGAGAGAGACCGGTGGGGAGAGGCTTTCACTTTTCACGTATGCTTTTCTGTCTGTTTTGGATTTCTCATCATGTGCACAGTGTTTTAATTTTTAAAATGGCATCAGGGACTATCCGGGTGGTGGGATTTGAAGCCGATTTTGTTTTCTTCTTTACACTTTTCTGTATCAAAAGTATCAAAGCCAATGTGTTTTAAATGTTGCAAAACGGAAACTTTCTCCACCCCTGGTGGTGAAGTCTGCTTTCCTGAGCTCCTGCTGAGGGGGCTTGTGCGGTCAGCCAGCTGCTGGTTCCCCTCCTGACCACTGGGTCCCCCCCAGCTGACCCCACCCACCTTCCCTGCCCCAAAGCCCCCTGCTCTCCGGTGCCTCTGGGCCTTTGCTGGTGTGCCACGTGGTTCCATACACCTGGAATACTCTGCCCCAATTGCCCCTTAACTTTCCCTCATTCATCCTTAGGCCAGAAGCCAGGCTCCCCACACCCAGGCCAATTCTCCTAGACGCCATTAATGGCCTTTCCACTGGTCAGCCCCCTCACTACCTCACAACAGCCTTGAGGTACAGACAGCACCTAGGTCACCAAGGTCACCCAGGTCACCCAGGGCCTGGCACACAGCAGTCTCCACATGTGTCTGCCCACTGAACCAACAGACGCCTCCCGAATTGGAGGAACGAACAGCTGGCACCCCAGGCTCACCCCAGCGCCGGCCCGTGTTGTGTGCGGGGTGGGATTGCCGGGCCTGCCCCAGGCGGCAGGCCTCGGGCCTCGGAGGCGATCTGGAGGGGCAGACAAAGCTACAAGACCGCGCCGCCCGATCGGCTCCAAGGTGGCTTTTATTTCCTCTTCTGCGGGTGCCAAGTCCCTGAACAAATATTTTCCTGGAGTAGAGGAGCGGCTCAGCTCCCCGCCTGAAGTGCTGGAAACACCGCCGGGTCGGGCAGGCTCCAGGAGCCAGAGGAAGAGCGGGGTCTGGCGGCAGCCGGAGGAGGGCTGGGCAGGGCTGCCCGCTGGGCGGTGCCCACCCTCCTGGCCGGCGGAGGAGGGGCCTGCTCCTGGGGCCCTGCAGGCCTGGGGAGCAGTGGCTGGCTCTGCTCAGTGCGAAGGGTTCTTGCCCTGGGCCTCTCTGCCCATAAATCAGAATCCTCTGGGATGCTGCAGAAGCACAGGCCTTGTGGGCCACCCTCCTCTCTGCTCAAAAAGCCACAGTGGAGTTTAAAGGAACTAATTAGAATCTCAGAAGTCCTTTTATAAGCTTCCCCCACCCCTTTAACTTTCTCATTACAAAATAACATGCACAGAGTGCACTCATCTCCACTGTGTAACTTAACGATTTATTTACATATACATATGCTCTTGTAATCACCGCCTGCATCAAGCCAGAGAACATTCCAGAGAACCTTTCAGAGAAGGTTCCCTTGAGTCACTGCCTAGACAATGTCACACCTCCAGCCTCAGTACCCCTGGCTTCTATGACCATCCGTTGTTTTGCCTGCTCCTGAACTTTATGTACCTGGAAGTCTGCCCTAGGAGCTCTTTTGTATCTGGCTTCTTGCACTTAATATACTGCCTGTGATTCTCCCTGTGTTGTCCGTGCAGCAATGGTTTGTCCTTTTTACTTGCTGAGTAGTATTCCCTCATGTGAATGCACCACAATTTATTTATCCATCCTCCTCCTGATGGATGTTTGGGTTGTTCCCACGTTCAGGCTCTGCCAAAGGAAGCTGCTGGGCACATGCTCACACATACCTTCCAGCTGACCCACGCTGTCCTTCTGCCTGGATCGTTGGGCAGGCAGACGTTGAGCGTTAGTTTCCAAAGTGCTTGTGTCGATGGGCACGCTGTTCAACCGCACGGGACAGTGCCAGTTGTGCCACACACCCTCCAACGACTCTTTCTCCAGTATCAACCTTTCAGGGGGAGGGGTGCCTTGCACCATTAATAAGCCTCTAAAGATGGCCTGACTTCCAGAGTGCCAGGCAGCCACAGGGAGCACCCGAAAGGCAGAGGCTGCCATATCTGCAGTGAGCCCCTGCTGCTTGCTGGTTCGTAATAAAGCATCTGCCCTCAAAAAGCATCCAGGATAGGTAGCAGGAGGCCAGTGTGGGAACAGACACCCGCGGTGACGTGACGAGAGCTGCCAATGGGTGACCCCGGAGTTACAATGGCACAGAGAACTCAGGGCCTCTCCCTCGAGAAGCTCTGAGTCCATCCTGGAAGCTGAGCAGGCGAGGGATATAGCACTGCCGCGGCCCTGACGTGGGGGTCTGTCACCCCCACACCGGTCCCTGCACCCTGAGCAGGTGTGAGCTGGTGTGGCCCAAGGATAGGCACCGGGTGCTGGGGGCAGGGGAGGGAGAGAGCCAGGCCAGGGCTGTGTCCTCGGCCAGGCACAGTTAGCAGGCTCCCAGCCCAGGGCCCTCCCCACGTGTGCACTCCAGAACCATGGAGCTCACCTGCGGCCTCAGGTGGGTTGAGCAGACAAAGGTGGATGGGGCACCTCGCTGGTGAGAACACGGCCCCAGAACTCCTATTGGAGGAGCGGTCCCCAGACCCTTTTAAAAGACTTCTCCCCCTGATGCTGCTTTGAGGTCTACTTGTCATCCTGGGATGGGCCATGAGACACCACCACGCCCAGCTCTGGGATGACTGTCCCTCCAGCCGCACCCCTGACTGCCAGCTCAGAGGACAGCCACATCCCAGGCACCTTTCCCCTCAGGCTCCTCTCGGGGTACCTGTGGGAGGGCAGGGTGCCACCCGGTGAGGTGGGGCAAGCCTCCTTTACCTCTTGACTAGCTCTCAAACCTGGCGCTCCTCCTTACCCCGGCCACACTCTCCCCCCACAATGCTGCCCCCCCCCCTCAGTGATTCCTCCTCTTTCCTGTGGCGCCCAGTGGCTGCCGGCTCTACTGAGCCCTCAGAGAGGTTTCAGGCAGAACGACTGCAGCTTGCTCCCTGCGTCCCAGCCCGTCAATTCCCACACCTGCTTTCCTTTCACATCCCGCACGAAGCCTCTGGTGTTGGTTTTGGCCAAAGCTGTGCCTCCCGCCTGGCATGCCTTCTCGCCCTTGTCGGAGAGACCAGTTTGGATGTCCTTCAAGACCCCGCCCGTAGAAGCACCACTGTGACCAAGCCGGGTGAGGTGCCCCTGCACCCCACCAGCCCACACTGAGCACCGTCACTGAAACTGCCCTCACCTGCCTGTCGGCCCGGGACCACAGGCCCCGCCCCCCGAGGGGTGGGCTGTGCACCTCTGTTTTGGATGTGAAACCCAGTGCTATCCTGAGCAAGCAGGACAGAATGCAATTTCAGGCAGAAGCTGGCCTCAAATTAAGAAGGCGTTTAGAAAATAAGTTAAATGAGAACTTAGTGGAAAATTCAGCGAGTCCCTCATCCCTACACAATGTGGAACACACACACCCAAGCCGCATGGACGCAATCCAGAGGGAAAAATTGAAACCGCGCTCAGTTGCTCCATTCCGGGTGTGGGGCAGAGAAAATCTTGGGAAAGCAGAAAAGAAGGGAAGAGAAGGAGGGGTCAAGGTCATGGGAAGTGGGGCAGCAGATGAGGCCTGAGAGATGGGCAGAGAAATTCCTTGAGATCAGGACTTGAAGACAGTGTTTAAACTGCTTCACATTTTAGCTTCTTTACTGTTAGTCTCAGATACTCAGGAAACCTGGGTTACAGCCCCACTCGTCTGGTGGCACCTGGGGAAGGACCTGGACATGACCCAGGAGGAGCAGGAAGTGGGGAGGGAGGATCCAGCAGAGAATGGGGTGGGCTGGGGTGCAGCTTAACCTACTAGGGTGTGACAAGCAGGTGGCCCAGAAGGCTGGGGTCCGAAAAGACTTGCTGGTGGACGTCCTGCCCAGTCTAGTGCCACCCTCAGGGTGTGCGTGGCCCATTGTGGCCACAGGGGCCAGGCTGCCCTTGTCCAAACCCCAGGTCTCGGCTCCCCAGCACATGAACTTGGGCAAGACCCTTCCTCTCTGCACCTCATCCTATCTGTAAAGTGGGGATCGTTAACCATCCCCACTATCTTTTTGGTGAGGAACAAAATGGCCCAGGTGCCCTGTCTGGCAGTGCCTGGCCTGCGCTTAAGCTCAGTAAGAGCATTCGGTAAATCCAGGTAGCCTCTTCCACAGTCCTGCCCTCACCATTCTGGCCCGGGGACCGACGGAAAACAAGCACTTGGTGTGTCCAGTGTTTGCGGAATAACCTGAGGATTTTGCCCCAGCCTCCAGCTGCCTGGACCCTGCAGGCCCTGCCTTCCCCCCCCCCACCCACAGTGCACCTGGACACACCTGGGGGCTGGCCTGCATGCAGAGACAGACTTCAGGTCAGGTGCCAAAGGCCCCAGGTGGGGAGACCTGCCCTGAAGGGACAGCTGAGGGGCTGGGTGGGGGCCACAGCCTTCAAGAGACCGAGTCAAGGGAGAGCCAGGAGTCCCAGGAACACTGGGGCCCCTGCAGTGTGCTGAGCATTTTTGCCTCACCCCCCACCCCCGCCCATGACCCAATTCCCACTGCAGCTTTTCCCTAATGTGCAGGCAATTTGTCTTGACCTTTGGCACTTCGGACAGCTGGCTAGTGAGTTTTCAGGAGTCCCAGGACAATGAGCAAACGGAAGGACCAGCACATTCGAGTCAGGAGGGGGCCCAGTGTTTGAGGAAGGGAATGACCCAGGACAGAATAAGGCAGAGGGCCCGGGAGGAGGGAAGGTGGTGAGGGATGACACAGGGCGGGGCGGGAGAGCAGAGGTGGCTGCGGCTTCCCTTAGAGCAGAGACAGGTGCTCCACACGGCCCAGAGCCTGGCCCCCCATATGACAGGGAAGGACATCACCAGGCCACAAAGACACACAACCACCACTGCAGCCCAGAGTAACAAGTACCATTTATTCAAGTGACATGAATGGGCCCGGCCACAGGCTTGGCACTGTCCCAGGGACCAGCGGGGATGAGCACGGTCGCAGACCCCTTTCCCATCCCCGAGTCATGTCCAGTCATATGTTCTGGGCAGAAAGTCCCAGCATTGAACACGGGGCACAGGTTCCCTTCATTGGCAGTGTGTCTGAGTCACAGATGTCCCCCTCCTCGGAGTGGCCAACGGAAAAGCTGGAACGTTGTCAAATTAAATAGAGACAGGAGTTCCCAGAAGGCCCTAGGCTGGGGGCCTCTGCTCCTACAAAGGTGTCTGAGGGGTGGGCCTCGGCTCTGCCCTTTGTGGGCCTGAGGCCTCAGGCCAGGCTGTGCTGGGGCCTCACAGCTTCACTAACCGTTTGGGAGACGGTGCTTTGAGCTTGGGGACAGAGACACTGGCGTCAGGGCTTGCACGACCTTGGCTGAACCTGCTGACCTGCTGAAGACCATTAGCAGAGGCAAAAAACCAACCTACCAGAGAGACTCTGGCCCCAGAGTCCCTCCCCGCAGGGATGAGGAAGGCCAGTGCTCCGCGTCACGGTATCGCTGTGTTCAGAGAGAAGGCTGGTCACATCCACCGGGCTGGCAGAGAGGCAAAGGCAGCAGAGTTCACGTGACTACTTTATATTAAAGTTTATTACATTTGAAGAAGCTACTGTACAGGGAAAAACCCATTGGATTAAGTAGAGTTTTGCCAAAAGCAAAAGACTATCACTCTTTGGAAAATTCCTGATTCCAGACCCAGACGGGGCCACAGGAGCTAATCAAAGGTGAGCCTGGTCCTTTGGGGAGCAGCTCAGTGCCAGGTGTGCCGGGACCCCTCTCGCCACCTGCCAGGAGAAAGTGTCTCCAGAGATGGTGTCAAAGGAAGAACTCGCTCTGTGGGAGATTCTCTGGGCCCACTGCCACCTCTCAGCCCAGTCATCTCTGTCCCCAGCCTGAGGTCCCAGAACTCAAATCTCACGTGGGCTCCTCAATGTCGCAGCAGCCCAGGCCCAGGCCCCGGCCCTGGGTTCATGGACACAGGCACGCCAGCTCAAAAGAAGTGACTGCCCATGGCAGCCGAGGCCGGCTGGACCGCCGCCGGGGCCACCCAGACATTCCATACCCTGTTGCACACGTGAGTGACAAACTCAGGAGACAACACACACACTATGTTGGCTTCCAGATTTGGTTCTCCTAGTTTTAAAAAAAGTCTTCTTAACCCTGATGCTGCATCCTGACCGTAGATTAGGGAAGCAAGATGGGAGATTAACCAAATCAATTTAACTTACCTCAAAAGTAACAAAGTCTACTGGGCTATGAACAAAGAAACTAGAGAAAACATGTGCAAAAACAAGTTGGCATCTAAGTTAGACCTCCCCACAAAACTGTGGACTCGGGTGGAGCCCCGAACGCCTCTCCCCGCCACTCAGCCATCCACGCCGTAGAGCCTGTCCATCTCCACCACCAAGTGCCACCAACGTGTCAGCTCTCGGCCCCAGCGTCTCCCGGACACTGCGAGCTGGCCAGGTCCAAAGCAGTTGTTCCAGGGTGGAGAAACTGAGTCAGAATGGCACAATGCCAGGTGCTGGCTGCGGTGGGAAGGTCAGATGCGGAAAGCCCTCGCGCCCCAGTCTCCGGGAAGAAGTCAAAGAAGCAGAGGCGAGCCCCCAGCCTGCCCCAGAACTCTGCAGGGAGTGGTCTGGAGGGACTGGGAGTGTTGGGGAGGTGGCACGGCCCCAGGGGACACGGGGCCTGCAGTTCTTCACGGAAGAGGCAAGTGGGGGCCTGGCGAGTGGCGGGGGGCGGGGGAGGACCGCTCCCGTCAGGCGTAGAACTCCTCCTGCTTGCTGGGTTTCTGGTAGGCCCCACCGTTGGCTTGTTTCGGCTCCTCCAAGGAGTAGCTGCCCTCGTCCTTCTTCTTCATTCGGTACAGCATGAAGCCCACCAGGCACACGGCAACGATGAGCCCCACCAGGCCTCCGGCGATGACCCCTGGGTGGGCGGACGAAGGCTGGCTCAGTTTGGCGGCTCCTGGGCAGCCAGCCCCCGAGGGGGCCTTGCCTGTGGTCAGCCCCACTCCAGGGCTAACGACAGCCCTCCACCCCAAGAGCAGCAGTGTGCCCCCCTCCCCACCCACCTGAGTAGAAACTCACCTCCCAGCACTTCCTTCCTGTCCAGGAGGCCTTGGGAGGCCCCGGGATCCGGCTGGGGCCCATTCCGAGGGCCGACTTCCAGAACAGGCTCAGCTGTGATCTCCCCGGACACATCGAAGGTGAAGTCCTACAGGAGGGCAGGGACAGGATCAGTGGGGGGTGGGCCAGAGCACCCGGGTCCATTTCCAAACCCAGAAGCGATCAGGCCACCAGGGTCAGAGCTGACACCAGCTCAGTCCCTCCCGAAGCCGGACCTCCGGACCCCAACACTGGGCCCCCCTTGGCACATCACACGGGGCCCTGGCTGGACTGTGGCAGAGATGTGATCTAAAGCACACGTGTTCACATGAAAATCAATAGGCTCACTCTAGTGTCCAGGGTGAAACTGACATGCCCCTAGAAGGTAAACGTAAAACGGTGAAACTTCACACTTGCAGCGGGAGCCCTGCTGAAGTGTGGCGAGCCCATTCTTGGTGACCTTGAAGCACCCTCTTGCTCTGGTCTCACTGCTTTCGTCTGTCCCACCTAGGGCTCAGCCCTGGCCAAGGGAAGGCGGGTCCTCACGACCCTGTGTCCATGGTGGGGAACAGGACGTACTCACAGGGCACAGGGTGCCGGGAGTGACGGTCCACTTCCCCTGTCCCCCACCCTGAGGCACTGCGCCCAACCAGTCAACAGGGCCACCAAGCCGACTGGTCGCCCACCGTCCCAGGACACGCAGAGGACTACAGCGGGCAGACACGCACCTGTTCCCCAGAGCCCTCCCCCGCTGAGAAGTGGGTGGCAGTTTCCTCCTCAGCTGCTCTTTCGGTGGCAGAAGGACCCCCGTCCTCCACGCTGGGCATGTGAGGGTCGAGCTGGCCAGCTCCTTTGGGAGCTGAAGTCTTAGGGTGGTCAGGCTGCATGTCTTGGTGGAGATGGGAGGTGACAGGTGCCTGGGCAGTGGTGGCTCTTGTTGTTGATACCCGGTGGGTGGTTGGGTGTGGCGTGGTCTCACTGGGTGGGAGGGCAGTCTTCTCCTCGGGGGTAAAGCCAGGCTCCACCTTGGCCAGAAACACCGTGTCTCTCTCCTTGTCCTCCTCAACGGCTGGCAGGGTGGAGGTGGAGGCAGTGACGGGACCGATGTCCGTGGGCTCTGGAGCTGTGGGCGTGGCCGTCAGCAGTGCCAGGTCCTTCCAGGTGGAGGGGGTCCGCTGGGACAAGATGATGTCTTGCAGAGCACCTGTAGGGCCAGGAGCAGCGTTTGTTGGGATGGGGGAGACCTCAGAACTTCTAGACCAGCCATGCTCAGGCTGTGAGGACGGCTCAGGGAGGACCCGTGACCCCCGTTCCCAGGCTAGCAGAGCAAACTCCTCCTCCCGTGACAGGCTCTGCCCCCCGGGGTAAAGCTAGCTAGAGCTAAACTTGACTGTGGAAAACGAACAAGGAGAGCTGCCTTCTGCTCTGGAGCCAAGGACATGAAGACTGTGCAGGAGGAAATCTTTCCTGTAATGACTGAAACCCGCTCCCTGGTAGGGGCATCTTCTGGGGCCCCTCTGGGGCCCAAACACCTTATCGCCAGTGCACATACCTACCTGGGCCCCTCCCTGTCATGCCTGCTCTCTCCCCAGAAGAGCCCAGGCTCCTTCAGAACTGAGACCCAGGTCCCAGCACCCAGTTCCTGGGCCCCTGCCTCGGCCACTTTCCCCACAGATAGCCGCAGCCTTCCTCTGAGGTCCAGTTCAAAAGCACCTCCTCTGGGAGGCCTCCCTGACCACCTCTAGCTCAGGGACTTCATTTCCCCAGGGACCGGGGAAATGGGGATGATAAGAGGCCATTTGTAAAGACAGGCAGCCCCCAGGCTCTATGCTGCCTCACAGCTAGTTCCCAACAAACTCATGAAGTCAAGATATCATTCCCATTTTACAGATGAGGAAACAGAGGCTTGGAGAAGTCGAACAGGCTTCCAGAGGTTTCCCAGTCAGTGAAGAGGAGGGAGGGAGCCCAAACGTGTCCACAGCAGGTGGCCTCCGGGCCTCCTGGGACCCGAGGCAGCCACTCCACACCCATGCCTGTTCTAGCTTTTCCCTGGCACCGCCCTTCGGGCCCATCCAGGGGGCCGCCTAACCACAGTCCCAGCCCTTGGCCTGCTGCCACCTGGGGGTGAGGCCCTCAGACCAGCTCACCTGCACCCGAGCCAGAGAAGTTGTCAGAGTCGTCCCCGGAGCCATCCTGATCTTCGGGTGGCACATTCGTTGCCAGGATTTGCTGGAAAAGGGTCAGAGAAGGGTCTGAGTGGAGGCTTGCCAGGGCGCTGCCACTCCGGGGCCCCTGTCTGCCCCCAGCACAGGAAAGACGCCTTCGTGGGTTGCTCAGGACCCTCGGTTCTGGGCAGCCCTTTGGTCCCCCACACCCCCCCTCACGCTACGACAACACAGCCCTGTGTCAGGTGCTGGGGGTGCAGAAACGCCTCGCCCCGAGCAGCTCTGTTTGCTGAGAGTCCCGGGCCTACAGGTCATGGCTCCCATGGGACCCATGGGCCCAGTGGCCCGGGAGCATCAAGGTCTAAGGTCAGGGCTCTCAAAAGCTTCAGCGCCCTGGCTTCAGAAAGGCAGCCTCCAGGTGTTCTGGCCTCCGGGGTGTGCACACCAAGGGCCTTGTGTGGGGAGGGGCGGGAATGGGCATGGTGGCAGGTCTCGCCACTACACTCCCCACCGCTGCTGGCCTGCTGTTGCATCCACAGGAAGGAAGAGGTCGAAGCTGACCTAGAAGGGGCCCTGCACCAAAGAGGTGCTGACAGATGGGCTGTGGACCTGGGACAGGCCCTGTGTGCAAACAGCTGCCCCAGGAGGCAGTGGGATGGGGTGCACCACACATGGAGGGGTGGGCACATGCAGAAACGCTTACTCTGGGACAGCAGGTGGCAGGACAGGTAGCCATGAGTGTCCTGTTCATCGACAAGACTTTGACCCAAACAACCCCGCAATTCAGCCCATTTTGAGAGGGCCCCAATATCAGCGGCCAGATCAACTTTAAAGAACCCCAGACCTCTGCCACTTACCAACTAAGTGTCCCTGGGGACATTACTAACCCTTTTATGGCCTCAGTCTCCCGATCTGTAAAGTGGGGTGATGATCCTACCTACATTCCAGTCAGGTTCTGCTCTGAAGGACCTCACAGAACCTAGCCCGCAGAAGCACCCCAGTAACAGTGGTGGCTGCTGACCTGGGGGAGCGAGAGCCACTCAGCATGGGGAGGGGGCCTCTGGGCCTGTCTGGAAAGAGGTGAGGTGGCGGTGGGTGAAGTTTCTGGAGAAGAGGGGGCAGGAGGAAGCCGGTTCCCTGGGGGCTCTGTGCAGACTTGTCAGAAGGCAGGTCCCACCTGAGGCTGGGTGGGCTCCAGGGAATGAGCCTCCTCAGCCCAGGTCCTGGCCACAGGCCACAGGGCCTCACTCCTGAGTGGGGCAGTGCAGGGCAGGACAGACAAGCCCTGCGGCCCCATGAGCTGGACCAGGCCGGGGCTTCCCATCAAGGGAAGCTTCGGACATGTGTAGAAATGGCAAGGCCAGAAATAGCACAGAACTTTCTTTGAAAGTGAAAAACCCGAACTGCACCCTCTCAGCCCCTCCCAGGAAAAGGGCTTTGGCCCCAGAAGGATCTGTTGTCCGAGCTGCCGTGGCCCATCTACAAGGCCTATGGTCCTTGACCTCCACCTGCACCCTGGGCCACAGCCTACCTCTACTCACAGTCCCCAGTGATGCTTCGGATTCCTACCCTGCCTCCCCAGAGCTCCAGCCCCGCCCCAGTCTGCCCCCTTCAGGAACAAAGACCACGGCCCACAAGGCAGATGCAAAGAGGGCGCCCCCGGCCCAGCATACTGACCCGTCTGGGGCCAGGGTGGGCCGCACCCAACCGTGCCTCCTGCTTGCCCAGCACCACTGCTCACCCGCCCTGTCCCCCAGGCAGGCCCTGGGGGTGAGCCCTGATCCCCACACACTGACTGTCCCCTCGGAGAGAGAGCTGGACCTGGGATGGGGGCAGGGCCCCAACCAGGGCAGCCTGCATGGCGCTGTAGAGAGCACCGAATCCTCCCCGGAAGCCGAAGCCAACGGGCCAGGCCCTATTCCACAGCGGCCGTGCAGGCACCGCCGCGGCCCCGGTCGGTGCCAGGGAGGCCCAGCTTCTCACCTACATAGAGAAGCCCCAACAGGTTAGCAATTTCCCAAGAGCGGGGCCTCTCTCGTGACTAGATAAGATTTTTTGGATCTGCCCTGTCCCTGAAAACAATTTGTCTCCTCAGCTGGGCTCAGCTTATCCCTCCGTGGATCTTGTTTACACAGCAAGCTCTTAAGTAAACACTTTCTCCCCTGAAACCAGCTCCCAGGCCTCAGGGCAGCCTCTCCCTCCAGGGCTGGGTCCCCACTGAGGAGGGGATGGGCCGCATCTGCTGCACCTGAGCCTCCCATGATGACCTCAGCCTGCTTCCTGAGGAGGCCATTAGCAGAAACTGCTGAGTTTGAACTCAGTTCGCCAGGGCCAACCGGTTGGAGTTTGGGGCGACACTTTGGGGTTTGCTCAGCCATCCTGCTGGGCCCAAAAGCTGTGGCCAGCTGGTGCGAGGCCTCACGTGGGGCTCTGCTCAGCCCTGCCTCTGACCCTGGTCCTTCCAAGAGACCACTGGCCGTGCCTTGGGGCTGCTTGGACACAGGCTGGCCCAGCTTGGAACCTGCCAGGGACGGGCAGGGCAAGGCAAGCCAGCCCGGTCTTTAATGGAACCCTTTAACCTCTCCAAATCCCAGGAAAATCAGCTTTCCATACACCAAATCCAAACCCTTGTGGTAAATTAAGGGCTAAACTCTCCACGTGTTCAGTTTGCTCTAAGCAAGGACCAGTCCGCTCCCTCCCCATCCTCAGCACAGGGGAAGCCCACCCGCCTGAAAAAACAAGACCAGGTTTGGCTCCAGTGGGGCTCTGGCTGGGGTCAGAGGCAGACACATGGAGGCTGGGGGGTGGGGAGTGCGAGAGCCAGCCCACCTCTGTCTCAGCCACACTGGTTCCTGGGCCACACCGAAGGCTTCTGGGAGCAGGAAAGAACATGAAAGGAGGGAGGCCTTCTCTGACACTGGACACCTCCCACCTGCTCCCCTTTTGTTCCTACAGCTGAGACAGGCAAGGCCGAGGTTAACACCTCCCATAGATAAGGAACTAGGGGACAGACAGGGTGGGGGGCTCACCCGAAGCCACTGGGCAGTGGCAATGAGTGTCTGCAGCCTCCCAGAGAGCATCTGCTCTCCTCGCCTGCCACCTTTCTCCCTCTCCCCAGCCCCAAGGGACCACCTTCCCTGGCTGCACCTTCTGTTTTAAAATTCACCTAGAGCTTCTCAACACAAGAGGCTCCAGAGAGCATCACTAAGTTAAGAATTCCTGATCTGTGCCCCAGCCAGAGGGGACGGCATGGACAAGCATGTAGTCAAGGCCACCGGGGGCTGGGTCTTCATCACTCAGCTGCCAGCCATTCCCAGGAGCAAGCTGAGTCTGTGGCTAAAGGCTGGCAGAGAAGCTTCAAGAGGCAGCCTTCAGCCCACACTGGCCACAAGGAGGGCCGCCCTCTGGGGAACCGTCACCTGAGTAGAGCCCTTGCCCTGGCCAGCTGAGGGGTCTGGGGCCGTGTTTCCCTCCAAAGCACCTTGGGCATCGAAGCTCCCAGGTAGGACCCCAAGGGGCACACCAAGTGGGGAGCTCAGGCAGGCTCCAGTAAGGAGCTTCTAACTCCAGGCCGACCGCTCCCCCTACCCATTCCCCTCCTGCCACTGTATCCCCAGCAGCCACCTGGCCCCAAGACCTGTGGTTTCCAGCCCACACCCTGAGTCACTAACATGTCACCTGCTGCTTGACCTGAGGGATGGATAAAACACAGATCCCTGAAAGGCATTACCAGGGTCACAGGAGCATGCTGTTTTCCAACCACACGTGATAAAACTATAATACCGTTCAGTATTTAACCGGTCTTCAAATTCAAGACTTGGGGGATGACCATCCGGGGGCTTTGGGGAGAAAAGCAGGTAAGGGGTGGTCTGGTGTCAGCCCTGGTGAGCTCCCAGGACCCTCAGCCATGTGCCCCCTCCAGCAAGCCTCCAGAAAGGGGAGCCGGGGAGTCTGGGTCGCGGAGAGCCACCACCCTACAGGAGATGCCAGGGCAGGGCCTTGAAGTCCCCTGCTGGCCTGGAGGATGAGACCCCACTCGGCCCAAGTCACTGACTGGGGCAGCACCGGGGATTCAGCATCATGGCTGGCAGCACCCAGGGGAAAAGAGGGTTTAGGGATCTGTCAGCCATAACTGGCCTCACTGTGAAGCTGGGGGACTCCTAAACCTCAGAGGCGCAGACCCCTATTCTCAGCAGTTCAAGAAGCAGGAAATGAATGTAAAAAGCATCGGTCCTGATGCCTGGCAGGGGCTGAAAACCACCCTGTCTTCCTCCTCCCCACCTCCCTCGGGTGGTCCAGGCAGCTGTCCGCCAGCCCCCTGGTCCGAAGCAGTAACCAGCCTAAAAACAACAGGAGCTATCGGAGGGGCAGATGGAGCTGGGGGGTGGGGGGGAAGGGAAGCAAGGGTCTCTGGGAAGGGACCTGAGCCAGGGACATCAGCAGCTAAAGAGTCCTAACCGGGTGGCTGCCCCAGGGTGAGGCCCCTTGCTGGGTGACCTGACCGGGCAGCTCTCTGCCCCTCTCTCTGGACTTGTTTCCCACCTTAGCTGGAGAACCGTGAACTCCGCTGGGCTCTGAGGGGCTAGGCTGGGATCTGGCAGCAGAGGCCACAGCAGTGTGGGTGGTGGGTTGGTGGCAGTCATGCTACAACAGGCTCACGGCCCAGGGCCCAGCAGGACGAGGACCCTCTCCTGCCCAGGATATCCAGCTGGTAGTGGGTCAATCAACCACCTCCTCTCCCAAGCCTTCTCTCCCAGTTTAGAAGCTGCCAGGGAGGCAGTCTTAGGCCACCGAGGAGGCACAGATGTCCGGCGTTAGCCTCCAGACCCTGAAATCTATCCCCTGCCGGTACTCCCAGAAGGGCCCCACCGTGCCTCAGGGCAGCATCAGCGTTTCCGGTTTGACAGGCACTGCGATTTATCAGCTCAGAGTCTCTTCACAGAGAACAGAGTCAAGCTGAGACCTGTACAGGAGGGTGATGGACCAGCCCAGGGTGGGAGGGGCCTGGGGACCCGGCAAGTCGGCTTCCATAACGGCCCCAAAAAGGCCCCAACGTCCCCATCA